TATTTCCTGCGATCGTTTTTTACCTTGGACAAGATACTCGTTAATGATGTAAATCTATTAATATTAGAAATATATTCCCTCCAGCTCAATCGTTTTGTAATCCGTACAATACGTTGTAACGTAGCTCGTTTCTTACGACAATCAGCCAAATCACATGGCAATGACGAGTGGCGGACCTTATTACATGTATATGCCTTTTTCCTTGCGATATTGGCTTTTTCACAGCTGTCATTCCACCAGGACTTTGGCGGGAATGCCACTTTCTTAACAGACGATTTTCAAATGGACTCTTCTGCAATTCTTATTAATTGTGTTGTGATATTTTCATTAGACATATTAACATCACCATTTATAAGATCGGATGTGATATGTTCAGTACACAGACTAGAAATAAGTGCCCAATTAGCCTTCTTGAATTTCCACCGAGGGACATTATCACAAGAATCACGATATGGTCGAACCTGAATTTCAGTAAAAACAGGAAAATGGTCACTACCTAACGCATCTTCCTGAAATACATCCCAGTTACACTTACTGGCTATGTGTGATGATATCATTGATAGATCTAAAGGAGAAAAAGTCCATTTGCCAAGATCCATGCGGGTCATTTTACCATCGTTTAAAAGGACAAGATCTGCTTCATCTAAAAATTGTTCAACAATCTGACCATTATAATCCGTCTTGTTGCTTCCCCAAAACACATTATGGCTGTTAAAGTCCCCACATATAAAATATGGGCCTCCATTGGGATCAATTCATTTCAGATATTCATCTACGTTTGGCTTACCTGTATTATAAATAGTAACAATAGTAATGGCTTTATCTTCCTCATGATGAATTTTTACTGCGTTTAGCCTCATACACTGTATTTGGTAATTCCTTGAACCTGATACGACAAATCAGTCTTAATAAATATAGCACAACCACCTCTCCGAGGATTTTAGTATTCGGATTGCTGGTTAGTCTGTCCTGACGTAGACCAAAATAGCCATTAATTCTAAAATGACTCTCTGGCCAAACAAAAGTTTCCTGTACACAAATAATATCCGGCAGTGGTGACCTATTTGATAGAAAATGCTTTAAGTTTTCCCCATGTGCAACAAGACTTTGTGCATTCCATTGCATTATGGTCAGGAATACTAAAGCTTTATCCATCATTCATCTCCACATGTACCTCACTCAACAGATCACTAGGAACATCGATGTGAAGATGTATTTTTGCCGCCGACACAAGACGATTAATCTGTTCCTCTTTGGTTGTTGCATTAAAGCATCCTGAAATCACCTAAAACAAGAACGTTAAAAAGGTTTGAGGAGAAGTACTAAGAAATGGATTGGCTACCTGTGGAGAGCTGACTTGAGCTGTAACAGGTGGATTTGATACACTCTGGCTTAAATATGACTCTCGTGACTCGTGAAGATCCGGGTTAGAACTGGTCTTCAGCAATCCATGCTTGTCGTAAAAGGCGACTAACGGGATCGGGTGGTCAGACTCGCTGACTTGGTTGACTCATCGTAGCCCAAGTGCGTAGATCGATGTTCATGCTGTTGATCACTGGGTTGTCGGGTCCAGACTCGATTATTTGCAGACCGCCGCCATAAAGCTGGAATATTGCTGAGTGCGGTGTTAACCACAAACCAACCAACCGACCTCTTCTCGAACGAGCATTCACATTTGAATATTGCTGAAGGTTATTGCATGAACGGTTAAAGGGAGACAACCAGTGCAAGCGTTAGGCATTTGAAGCGTCCGGAAAATCTCCAAACATACCAACAATTATCAACATGTACCTAACAAAACACTGTTAACCAATGTCACAAATATTACGACGAAACTCACTGTGCATTATAATTATTTTATTTATTGTCGATTTAGATTAAATCATAATATTTAATAAAGATACGGAAACTGCATACATCATATTGAATGGCGAAATTTAAGTTTCGAATATGTGCTTCTGGAGCATTTATTGTTACGTTGCTGTTAACTAGTTTGATATGTCAGAGCCATATTTCAAAGGACCGAAACCTCAACGAAAGGAAAAACCATGATGACCAGATTCGAACCACCAAATCGCTCACACGTGGTTTTGATGCTGACTGTTTTATTGCTCAGTGGGCGTTATGACAGACGGAGTTGCTTCCCCTGTTACTAATGCAAAAAGGTTACACGAAACCAAATAATTCCCACTGGCTTCTATAGCAACGTTATATGTTTTTTAAACTTATTTAAGATATCAACAGCTATCACAGGTACATGTGTGCATAGTCTGACGTCTAAGAAGCAATAAAAAGATATGACCACCTCAGCTAGCTTCTTTTCCGAGTTGAGGAAGCGAAACAGAACAACCCCAGTTCCGCACAAAATGGGATCGGGTGGTTAGGCCGACTTTGTTTATACATGTCATCGTATCCCAGTTGCTTATTTATCATATCGTATCTTGTAGACAGTCGTTTTTTGGTGTCAAGCAACAAACAAAACTATATCCACCTGTCTTGTTGCTGCTGGCGTCACTGAACACGTTAAGATGTGAGCGATGGGGGAGTAGAGAGAACGTTCGCTCGCCATTCAGAAGGTGGGGATCGACTCCACGCGTCAGTGACACGTCCTTGCCAGGCCATTGCGTCGATGGACCTGACGTCGCTTGTTCATCCCTTGGATGAGGGTAACGGCATGTCTTGTCATGTCTTCATTCCATTTTTGAAATATATTTTTCACAGAGAGAGAGTGTCGTCATAATATTTGTTATTCCCTCGTGAGCAACTTGGCAACTTCATTATTGACCCTTCATATTATTCATATTGGATTTTCAAAATTCGGCGCTGTCCATACCAACAACAGGTGTGGTAGGTTTGCTCGTAGTCCAGTCCAGACAACGTAGGCCATTGGTGAATACATGTATCATGAAACCCAAGTGAACCGTGTCTGCGTGTCAATTATTTTCGATGTTGGGGGTGGATGGTCCTGGATTCCAACAAGACAACATAAGTCCGCCATACATGTTTAAACCGCCATGATCTCATTACATCATCACACACAATGATGACGTCACTTGCCTACGTCATCATTTTTTGGGATGTAGTATTTACTTAACAACTATCACAGTCCTCCTCCCTATCAAATGCTACCATTATATGGCATTGAAAGCGCTCTCTTTTTTTTCCTTTAAACGATTAGAACTTGAAACCATAAAAGTCTTTCAATAGCTGAACTAGAATAATACATTCATTCTGCCATAACGGCTAACACATATACAGTCTCAGTATATCTTCGATCGGCTTACAAAGGCAATACACTTGTGGACCAACAGCAAGGCCGTTCATGACATATTAAATACTAGAGGCCCAGTCTTTGAATTGGTTTCCTGGTCCTCTCCGGGTAGCGCCTTGGTGGTTCAGCCTGGCTTATCTCCCTTGCTACACTTGGTTTGGCTGAAGTATCTGCACATCTCAGCGGTGGTGTCTCCTCCCCCGACATTAATGGTGTCAGCAGCGACTGCTGTGGAGTTGTCTCGGCAGGTGGGCAGCGTTCAGTTGTCACTGACAACTTAGTGATCTGCTCGTCTTGTGGTGACACAAGATTTACATTGGTGTACATGGTGCGTGCGCCTATTTGAACCAGGTACCGTCGAGGTCCCATTCTGCGGGTGACTCTTCCCGGTATCCACCGTTCGGTCGTTCCATCTCTGTAGTTACGAACTCGACAGGGTTCATTGGTCTGGAATCTCTCAGAGGATTCTGTTTTATCATGGAAGTCCTTCTGTTTCTGTTGAGCAGTTTCAACCTTCTTGTTGAGATCAGGTTTAAGTAGAGACAATCTTGTGCGTACTTGCCGTCCAAGAAATAACTTTGCAGGTGTGCCCCCTGTCGCAGAATGTGGTGTTGACCTATATGTCAAAAGAAACTTCGACAAGTGTTTCTTCACCGATGTATCGTTGTCCCCTATCTTCTGAGATATGAAGTGTTTTTTCAGTGCTGCTTTGATTATCTCAACCGAACGTTCTGCTGTACCATTTGATGATGGGTGGTGTGGTGGTGTGAGTGAGTGCTTTACTCCATTCTGGGCTAAGAATGTCTCGAACACTTCTGCTGTAAATTGTGGCCCTTTATCCGACACTTATTCTTCTGGTAAGCCGTAGCTTGAAAATATTGTTCTCAGAGTCTCTACAGTCTTTTCTGCTGTTGTAACCTTCATTTGTGTGACTTCAATCCATTTTGACCGGCTGTCGATCAGTACCAGGTAGTTTTGTCCCCGAAATTCTGCGAAGTCCACATGTATTCTCTCCCAAACTCTCTGTGCATAACTCCATGGTTGCAATGGAGCTGTGGGTGGATCTCTCTGTGTGGTTTCACAAACTGTGCAACTTTTCACTGTCATTTCAATGTCGTGATCCAGCCCAGGGTACCATAGGTAACTTCTAGCTCTTGCTTTCGTTTTCACCATTCCAGAGTGATCTGTATGTAACTCTTGGGAGTACTTCATCTTGCAGTGTAGGAGGGATCACCACTCTCATTCCCCACAATATACAGTCTTGATCAACAGAGATTTCATGTCTTCTTTGAAAGTATGGTTTCATTCCTTCATCTGTTACGTAGTTTGGCCACCCTCGCAATGCATGATCCAGGACTCTTGATAGAATCGGGTCTTTCCTTGTTGCCTTTGCGACTTCACTTGCTGTAACAGGTAGGTTATTCACATTGGTGAAATAGTTGATCTGTCCTTCGATTGGGTCATCGTTCCCAGCTAGTCTAGACAGTCGATCGGCGTTAGCATGGTCCTCCGATCTTCTATATCGGATCTCGTAGTTGCGAGCCATTAGCATCAACGCACATCATTGTAGACGAGTTGCAGCTAGTGTGGGTTTGCCTGTCTTTGGGTCTAGGTCAACGGCTTGTGATCTGTGATCAAGGTGAATTTCTGTCCATAGATGTACTTGTGAAATTTCTTGATCCCGTATGTGATGGCTAGAGCTTCTTTTTTAAAGCTGAGCGAAGTTCCGTTAGCTGGAAGACAACGTTCTGGAGGCATAGGATATCGGTCGCTCCGATCCATCATCCATCAGATGGGATAGGTAACATCCTACTCCGTATGCAGATGCATCACATGCCAGCGTTAGAGATTTGTTCATGTCATAATGAACCAACACACTCTCACTTGACAACATTGTCTTGCACTTCTGAAAGACGTCTCTTGCTTGGTCGTCCACTTCCAAGCCATGTCTGCTTAAAGCAGATGATACAGTGGTGACAGCAGGGTAGACATATTCCCTAAGAACCCGACTGTAGAAGTTGATCATTCCCAAAAATGCTCTCAACTCAGTGATATTCTTTGGATGCGGTGCCTCCGTGATAGCTTGTATCTTCTCCTTCATTGGGTGAAAGCCGTTTCCATCAATATGGTGTCCAAGATAGTCGACACTGCGAACCTTAAACTTGCACTTGTCCATGTTAACCTTGATTCCGTAAGTGTCTAGATGCTTGAGTACTTGATGGAGGATCACGTCATGCTGCTTCTCTGTCACTGTACCTATGGGTATGTCATCGAGTAGATATTCCACATGAGGAATCCCTTGGAGAACTTGGTCCATGACTGACTGAAAAATGGATGGTGCTGTGGATATACCGAAACAGAGTCTCTGGAATTCATACAGTCCCTTGTGAGTGTTGATTACCAGCAGAGGCCTTGACTTCTCTGTTAGTTCAAGTTGGAGATATGCGCTTGACAAATCCAATTTGGAGAACAATGTTGCTCCTCCCATCTTTGCAAACAGATCTTCATCCGTAGGTAATGGGTAAATGTTTTCTTCCAGGACAGGATTTACAGTCACTTTAAAATCTCCACACAGCCGAACACTCTTGTTGGCCTTGGGTACCACAACAATAGGTGTTGCCAAGTCAGATTTTTCCACCTTCCGTATTATCCATTCCTTCTCCAATCGATCAATCTCTTTTTCAACAGCTTCCCTCAATGCATATGGTACAGGACGTGCCCTGCAGAATCTTGGGTTGACATTGGGTTGCACCTTGACATCAGCTTTGAATGTCTTTATGACTCCTTTTCCATTAAACACTGACGGATATGCTTCCTTCAATTTACCACTAAGTGGCTCCTCTGATATGGCGCTTACTTTACCCCAGTTCATCTGTACTTTTGTACTCCGGTTTCTCCCGAACAACGGCACTCTCCTTCCTTTTGCCACCACTAGAGGAAGTCTGTGCTCTCTATCCTCTAACTTGACATTGACAATAACTTCACCCAATAAAGGAATAGCATTGTCTGAATAGTCCGGCCAGCAAGGAAACCTTAGTTGGTCCTAGCTTCACAGTGTTTAGATGTTTTCTGAACATTTCCTCTCCTATCACTGAATGACTGGCAGCTGTATCCAAACAGAAGTCAAAACTCTTTCCCTCCATCCCTAATGGAACTCTGAACCCATCTTCCTTTCCTCCTGTGTGGAGTAAACGGCAAACAGTCTATCCGCATCATCATCTTCTACTTCATCCTGCTCATCAACTTCTTCAGTTAACAGATGGGCTCTTCCTCTAGTATTACTACTGCCTGCTTTCCTGTAAATTTGTTTCTTGTCTGTGTGTGTTTATCTTGACAAACTTTCGCTATGTGACCTAATTTCCCGCACTTGAGGCAAGTTTTCTTCCTGACGTAGCAGTGATGGTTAGTTTTGGTACATCTAAAACAAGGTTTATAAATCTGATGTCTGTCCTGTCTTCTAACTTGATTTACTTTACCAGAAAGGTCATTTCGAATCTGTCCTGAAGGCTAACACATCTTTCTCTGCCACTTCCATTGCAAGTGCTATCTCACATGCTTTCTGAAGTGTTAAGTCTTTCTCTGACAATAACTTCCTTTGCACGGCCACTCCTCTAATACCACCTACTAAGCTGTCCCGTAAACGTTCTTGTAATGTCGTCCCGAACTCACAGTATTTACTAAGACTTTTGAGTCGCACAATGTAATCAAGAACAGACTCTCCAGCATTTTGTTTGCGCTCTGAAAATGCTTGCCGTTCCCAAATCACGTTTCTTACTGGCTTGTAATAGCTAGAAAAGTCCTCTGTCAGCCGATCGTATGGCACATCACTAATATCCTCTGGTGCTAGCAATGAAACAACAGTTCAAACGCAGTTGGCCCCACTGTAGCAAGAAAAACAGTAGCCCTGTCCTCTTTCTTTACTTTGTTTGCCTTCATCCATATTTCTAGACGTTTCTTATAGCTTCCCCAGTCTTCATTATCTGATGAATACTCGCTAATCGTTCCGATCATGGGCGCGCCATCTCAGGTTTTGAAATCACTTTAAAGTTCACTTTCACGTTACTCTTCAACTTTACACACGTTTGTAGTGCCTTATTTCCAATAACGTATCACATGGCAATCTATCCTTATAGACGCTGAGCCCCCTTGTGACTGATGTGATAGTTAATGTCTCTCATCACGCTGAATGTTCAAAACTGCCCCACAACATTCTCACGGTTTTGGATCCCATCCTCGTCGCCAATTTGTCATGTATTTCCGATGTTAGGGGTGGATGGTCCTGGATTCCAACAAGACAACATAAGTCCGCCATACGTTTTTAATCCGCCATGATCTCATTACATCATCACACACAATGATGACGTCACTTGCCTACGTCATCATTTTTGGGGATGTACTATTTACTTAACAAATATCACACACCGCACCCCATTGTTTGATGGTAATGGGTTCTTCGGATCAACACGGGACTCCTTCGAGACACAACTACATGTGTCCCATCGGCTTCTATTGTAACAGGGGCGGTGGGGTAGCCTAGTGGTTAAAGCGTTGACTCGTCACGCCGAAGACCCGGGTTCGAATCCCCACATGGGTACAATGTGTGAAGCCCATTTCTGGTGTCCCCCGCCGAGATGTTGCTGGAATATTGCTAAAAGCGGCGTAAAACCAAACTCAGTCAGTCAGTCTGTTGTAACAAACTGTATATTTCTAAACTAACAAAAATAGGCATTCATCCGTCATTTTTTCGTGTGTGCTTCGCCTGACGTTTCGTATTCCTTTGTTGTTCAACGCCGCACTCGGCAATATTCCAGCTATATGCCGGCGGTATGACCAGAAAATCCAGTGATTTTGATACGATGACATGTGTCAACCAAGTCAGCAAGCCTGACCACCCGATCTTGTTAGTCGCCTCTTACGACAAGCATGGGTTGCTGAAGATCAAATCTAACCCGGCCTGTCCTTAAAGGTTCAATAGAATATCAAACTATGCTGCTCGATTTCCGATTGCAGGAATCGCAACACACCAAGCGTGGTAGCTCAGTGGTCTAGCACTATAAAACCAGCTTCAGTCTGGGCTAGTACAAGCAGCCGCACATACACATACACACGCAGGCACGTCGTCATATGAGCGAAATATTCTCAAGCACGACTTTAAAGGTCACATGCAACCACAAAATCAAACATAATTAAAACACAATTATCACTTATTCATGACATATAATATACATTGCTGATTATAAAAAACATATACACAAAATTATAAGCGTACAATCGCAAATCGAAAGTGCAATATTTTGTACTTGGGTTTACTTCCCACAGAAACGAAGCAGCCGGGATACCGAACCCAGTCAGAGCGGGTGGGTGTGCACTCAAGTGTAACGGCTGGTTCATTTGCAGATGCCCTCACGGGTCATTGTGTGTGTATATATAGAGATGTTGGTTTGGTAAATACATGCTCATTTTTGTGTATAACATTTTGCAATCAACAGACATCATAACATGTCATGTGTACAAGTATCACACCTGCCTGTCTGTGTAATTACATAATGTGACAGAGACCGAACTCGGGCCATAAAGCAATGCGTTTTGTTTATGGTGTATAGCCTGATAGGTGTTAAGTTCAAATTGCATGTGGTCAGTGATCGAAGTTGTGTATTGAATATTGTCATTAGCAGACAGGCAGACATTGAGTTTTGTCTGTGACAACGACATATCTATATCACAGTTAGAAATTCTGTCAACGCTAAATAATGACATTGCTTTTAAGTATCGAACTGAGAAAGTGACTCGGTAAGAAAAACGTGTGGTGAAATAGACAAATGAAATTATATAAACAGTTAAATCGGTAATCTACTGTCATAACACATAAAAAGCTCGTGCCTGTGAAATTTCAACAAAACATTAGAAAAATAGTTCACACCAAAGCCTTCACCGAGTATTCACCGGACAACCAGCTTCCAAGATGAGCGAACCTATTTCACTGCGCATGTGCTATGAGTGCAGCCCAGCGCAGCCCAGCAGTTGAAACCACTTTTTCCCCCAAGCGCTGGGCGAAAATTAGTGAATCGTTTGAACTCCGATTTCGCGCGGGTTTTTTCATCGCGTTATTTTTCATTTTTATAAGTTGAATTTGCATTTTTGATGATTTGTTTCGGTAAGTCCATACCGAAAGGCATCAGAATCTGCAAAGTTGTGTTTTACGTTGCATGTGACTTTAAACCCAATTTCACCTCACCTCACCTCAAAGAAAACGATGCGCCTGTAAAATATCCTTTGTTAACATATCCCCATGTGTTTGGGTGCACTCTTTCATAGCATGTTAAAGGACATCACATCGCCAACAACAGACATTACTGAGCGCTCTGCTATCGCATGTTCGTTAAAACTATATTCTGATGATGGTGTTTCTTATAGAACATTGAAAGGACTTCAGTGTGCATTCTGTCGTTGCAGGATTCCATGCTATTATATATTGATATCGCCCTGGAGGATTCGACCACCAAGCATTGAGTTCAAGATTGAGGATGTACCGGAAATTCCTCAGGGCAACGTTACACATGGCCCAGAAAACGTGTAAACATAATGACGTTCGTCATTGCCGTTCCAAGGTTACAGAATTGTCCTACTTACAGTACGTACTTAATGCTCATGTTGACATATTGACTTAGCCTTCAGGCATAGCTTCTGGAATGCATCAGTTCCCGTGTAATTAATAACAGCCTATGGCGTTCACACCGAGGACTAGTCTCTCCAAAGTAGTTAAGTTTGATAGCTGAAGACTCTAAAGTTAAAGCTTGTATTGATCGTGGACACGTATTGTTAATATCTAGGTCATGATGATTTTTTGTGTAAAATGGGTGAATTATTTTACCCGGGTAAATTATTATTTTCTGGACATTTATCGGATTTGGTTTATATTCCTAGACGTTTTATTGCTGTTGACGTCACAAGGGATATACAGAGATAGGTTACCATATGATTTCTACCTCGTAGAATACCTGTATTAACACGTGTTCTATACTACTTTGGGAAAACCTTTCCTCGGTGCATCGAGGTGGTAGACCATACGCAGTACCCGCCGCAAATACGCGAGTAGAAATGTGGAGAAGCCAGAAATTAACGATTCTTGGTTCGAATCCCAGTTTGACTAATTATGGTTCCAGGATTGATCGCACCATAAGCATCCTAGTGTGATTTACCAAAGTTCCTGGTCTAATTAACGTCTAATTTCCCCGCCTAGCGTCTCTTTCTTCCACACATTAACCCGACACCAGGTGGTATAACCGGAATGCTGTACAAATGTTAATCACAACTTTATCACTCGTTTTATTTTCCTCAGCCCATTTCTGGTGTCCCCCGCCGTGATGTTGCTGGAATATTGCTAAAAGCGGCGTAAAACCAAACTCAGTTAGTTAGTTAGTTATTTTCCTCTCATCGAATTCTATTAGACATCTTTCTTTCCGTTACACAAAGACTTAAATTATGCCCGTAATGTGCGGAAATTTCTCAAATTACCTTGCGAATCATCATTTCTGCAGCTTTGCAAGGTTGTATATTTGTGTAACTTCAATGCTCCACATTTGGGTCCCAACATCGCGGTTGGATGCTTAAGCCGTTGTCACGTGACCAGTGTCGTCTGCTCACCTTCCTTGCCGCACGCGCTGGTATTTCGTTGTCAAGGCTGGCTGCTTTTATCGACGTGGTAATCTATGTCAGTCGTCAGTCTTCTTGCCAGATATTTCGATACGGCATTACAGATAGATTTCGAGAGAAGAGTATCGATCTATTTTCTTCATTCCAACTGTATTTGGTATACAACACGCATGACGTATTTGCAGGAGTGGTGGATGAACGACGAGTCGCTTTATATCA